TAGCATAATTTAGCAGTATTTAGTGGTATTTATGTTACACACATATAGTGTTTGTACTCTATTTGATTATATTTTTTTACTTGGACTGATACATAAGATTTCTTTCGGGTTTTTGAACATGTACATTTGTGACCTTTATTACATTTGTGACCAAAGTTTATTACATTTGTGACCTTCATTACATTTGTGACCAAAGTTTATTACATTTGTAACCCTTATTACATTTGGATCCAGCTTTTACATTTGTGCCTTCTACAGGGCGTACCTATGAATGCTGCCTGCCGAAGTGATTATCTAGTATAATTATTGTTCTTATCAAAATCCAATTGTTTTCTTTCTAGCTTGTTTATCATAGAAACAAAGCCAATAATGAATGAACTAAATATGTCTGATTTTCCTCTATGCATTCGTTGGGATAATGCAGACTGAAAACAATGGATTTTGATAAGATCAGTAATTATATATAGATAATAGACCAACCTGATTATCCCTTCACAACATTTTTCGTATTTATTTAGTGATTTCCTTGAACATTGCTAACTTCACTGGTGAGATCAGCAGTCCCGGATACCCAAGATACATGGAACGAGCCCACTACGAGTGGATATTCAGACCTCCCATACCACGAGCACGTATAGCTTTGTATATAGAAGACATCGATTTGTATCGCAGTTACGATACTGGGTAAGTGTTCAGTAATAGTTACTACCATCTGTCCGGAGAGCGTGCGAACTGACCAATCACGGTGCGTTTTGAATTTCAGTCGAGCGGCCCTCGTTCTCAGTCCTCTTTCAAGAAAAATACACACGGCTCGACGAAGCTCGGGAGGGATTTATAATAGAAAATAGAGTTTACAACACTTTGGAATGTTTCTTATATTATCTACATAGAATTTCACTGTTTATTTACCTGCAAAGGTGAATAAAAGACGATTGAATGGCTTGAGAGTAGCGTTTGGTGATTCTGGCATTCACGAATGCGAGTAGATTCAAAGGAGTTTCGTTTTTTATTCTTCTTTGCCTTGTCTTTGGCTAATAAGGAACTGAAACTTCGAGCAAAAAACCCGCTAAAAAGTTGATGGCTGCCTCTAGGTCGTTCTTCCCATCAAGTAGAGTTGAAACAACGATCTGTGGATGCTCAAACAGGTGTTATTTTGTTATTTTCTCGCTGAATGACTCAGCCTAAGCACAAGAACCTTTTTAAGTACTTATCTTGCTATTTGGAATATTTCTCGACACATAGCAAGTAAAATCAAATGTAAACAAACTATTTTTACGAGTGAAGAACCAAGACAATTCACGATTGTTAGAGTCATAATTATATTCGCATTTATTCATGTTTCTTTCACTTACAATCAACAGAAGTACTTGTGTGTAAGTAAATAAACTCAGATGAGGCTTTGTAGACACAAAGGCGTGAAAAATTTGCCACTATTCACTAATATAGGCAAATTTTCAAGATGGCGGACTCAAAATTCATGTGTTGAACCGCGTGGTCTAAAAGTGAGAGACTGGTAAGAGGGTAGCTCCATTTCCACCAACAATCCTTTTCGCGCGTAGTCTTTCGGACAGCTGGTATAGAAAAAATGTATATGTTCTTTGTATAAAAGGTGCGATATTAGAATATGAATTAAGTAATTTTTTTTTAGTCGTCTTCTTCTGCACTGCGATGGATGTCTTCTCTACGTTTTTTTCCAAACTAAAAAAATTTAAATAAATAGATAAATAAAAAACCGATCTATCCGCCTTATCAAGTCGGTTAACAGACATGTCATGAAATGGGATGGAAAAGAATGGCATGGGATTGGATGGCATTAGTATAGTGTTAATGACTGTTACTTAAGAATTATTTATTGTTTACTAATACTATCTTACAGGAAAAGTAACCTTACAGTAGAAGATGCGTCAAATGCCCAACTCTTATACATTCAGAACAGCAGACGTAAACCTCTCTCTATTCTCATTGAAACCACGACTGCAAAAGTGATTTATTACTCGTCTTATTTGTATAAGGGCCGAGGGTTTAAACTGAGATACTACGCTTTCAGCATGTCTGTCAATGACCGTAAGTCTTAGTGTTTACATAATGCTTATAAAGAATAGAGACAATTTTTAAAAATTAATTGCTTTATAAGATATTTTCTTCATATTTTTGTTTTGAAATTTTAGAGGTATGCCACCAAAACTGGAACTGTTATAGTATTTAAAAAATGATTATGAAGAATCGAGGCAATATTTTAGAACATAACAAGCCGCAAGCCCGTTTTTTTGGCAATAAGCGGAATTTAAATCCGCATACTTGTGGCGTGTAAAGATGGGCGAGGTGTTTGTGCCACAGCAGGGTATCCACCTTAGACCGAAGTAGTATTTACTTTAAGATTGTATTACACATTAGAATGATTATGTTGCTCTGCCAGCCTCTGCCGGTACCTCCATGGTTAACAGCCGATTTTAATGAATTCGATCGCTGTAGATCGTTACTAAATATACTGGACAGCTAATCGAATCTACACGATGCTATTCTGATCATGAAATTGATCTATGTTGTTCGAAATATGCCGTCGAACGGTCAGCGATTGGTAATGTACAACATGATTCTCGACTCAAAGATCACATTTTCGGTCTAGCAGAAAATTCCAGGTAGATTTTGGTACAGCAATGTTTCAAGAAGAACCTTTACTTAGTTTTTGATGGTATTGATCCAGGAATTTAGAGTATAGTTGATGATATATGATCGTATTTTAGGCCAAACGTCTAATAATATAAATTGGCGCGAAAACTGAAGTCTGGCAAAAAATTCGATGTTACGTCCTATTTAGAGATGCTCTTTCTGTCGAATACTTCAAAATCATAGCTATAGTAGATCCTTCACACTCGTGCATGCCAATTTGGAATATATAGCCCTAGCTTTTATGATAAGATGTTCTTTAAATTTGACAATGAATGCTGCATTGTTGCTGCATATGTTCCCGCGCAAATTAATGTTGTATTTCTTTAATAAATTTTTAATATATAGCTAGAAAATGGAACCCTCTCTCCTTGCTTTCTCAGGCGGCTCGCCCGAAAGCAACAGAATTGCTCAGGTGGCTCGCCCGTAATTCTGTGAGAGGCTACATTTTGAATTTATAATCGATCGGAGTCTAGTTTTAATTTTTTTGGAGTAGTTAGAAAATGGAACCATCTCTCCAAAGGAGGATGTTTACCTAGCATGCTTTGCGCGCCTCCACCAACTATATTATCACACTGAAAAGTCACGTGAGCTACTCATTTTCGCTTTGATGTCAATGCAGAAACATCGACTATGGAGATTATAGAGGGAAATCGTGAGCCCTTTTCCACTTCGGATCTTCTCTTTCTCTACTATATTGTCAAAAAGGATCAAATAGACTGAATTTGCTGGTATTACGTGTTTTAAATTTGTGACAGTTATCAGCCATCTTCCCAGGCATTTTTATTGAAGAAAGAAGACTTGCATCGTTTTGAACAAAGACAGTCTCGATTTTCCGGAAGAAAATCGCTACTGAATAAAGTTTTATCTAGCAGCTGTTGTTYGAGGTAATATACAAAAGCCATGTGTTAAGTTTGTTGTTGTTTATCTACCCTTGAGAAAAATATACCATCTACTTTCTTCGATTGATCATTTTCTTCGAATGTCTTGCCTTTGTATTAATTTGAACTTTTAAGCTTTTTGTAAATTTGAGTTCTTAAAGAAAATTACACTATATCTGCACTGTGAAATGATAGGTTTGGCTTTCTTGAGTTGAATAAAATTAGTTTCTAGTGGTTTGACTATTTATTCGTTTATAGTTTGTTAGATTAAGGAAATTCTTGAACTGTTTGTCGGGCTTGTGACACGTGCTGTGAATAACAGTAAGCTTAACTCTTTTTCCTCTTTAAAAAAAAACCTTCGATTGATAAAATAAAAAATAAAACATTTTAAAATTGTCGTTGCTATTATATGAAGTATACGTTTGAATTTTAAAATCAAGATTATCAGATTTGTCTGAAGATACTCAAAAATACAATTTTTGGTAATCTAGCAGGTCACGTCAAATCAAGGACGTAAGACAAGACGAAGCGAAACACAAGGCGAATTTTAGTGGAAATTGTAATGGCCGTATCTCACTCAAACGTGGAGACTTAAGGAGACTTAAGGGATATAGCATAGTATGAAGGCTATACTTTGTGTAGGTGTTTCCTTTTTAAAATTTTCTTCGTTTAATTTCGACTTATTCCCACATAATTCAAAGCCTACAAACACTTCGCTTGTCAAAACAATTTTTATCTTTTTCTACCCATTCATTGATACGGCATATTTTGATTTTTCTTGTGGCAAAAACTACAAAAATACCAAACAAGGTCCCAGTTAAATATCCAGACTTTCTATTGTTTGTCAGTATGGATGCAGAAAATATTTAATAAGCAAACGGCTGCTGTTTTTGTTTGGCGAAATAATCGAGGAAAATCGTCGTCGAGAGGAAATTTTTCAAACGAACGCTAAAGACAGATGCATAATGAGTACGGCGCGCAAAGCATGCTAGTGAAACATCCTCCTTTCCTCTCTCCTTGCTTTCTCAGGCGGTTCGCCCGAAGGCAACAGAATTGCTCAGGTGGCTCGCCCGTAATTCTGTGAGATGCTACATTTTAAATTTCTAATCTCTAATCGTAGTTATAAAACATTTCATAGTTAGAACTAAAAGCGAAAAGGTAAAAAGAATAACAGCACTGCTATTTAATCGTATTACGCTGCTTTGTATCGAAGTGTCAATCCAATTGACACGATGCTCGAAATTATGGTAGTAACCATAGTGATACTTGGAACATGCTGTCACAAATATTCACCAAAAAAAACGGCCTTGCGGATTGTTATGTATTTAAATTATCATTATATCGCAATAAACGTTTTCGTTTTATAGTCCTAGAGGTATGTCACAAGAACTGGAACCTGTCCATCATCCAGAATGTTCCAGGAAGAATCAATGTCTCTTGGTCCCCTGTGCCACAAGCATCTCACCAACCTGGTTCTACATACACCTTCTTGGTTTTATATAAAATGGTTAAAAGTACATACACTAACTTTACCACCGGTGCGAGTTCGAGAACGGCTAGGATTGAATTTCTGTATCCGAACACAACATATTCCATACGAGTGATTGCTCTGGACACGTCACGCATTGAGAGTACAACGACATACAGTTGTTCGCAGCTGGTAAAGACACTTGATGGTAGGTTACCACAATTATCCTAGAATTAAGGCAACATTTAGGAATTTATTTTCGATGTTTTATAGAAAGGCCTTAGCAATACAATAATGCAAATACCGGGTATACGTCCGACGGGGTAGCTAGAGAGTCACACTGCTTTGATTATTTAATAATTACGAAACCTTTGTTTACAGCTATTGCAAAAAAGGGTGAACACTGAGTACTGCATACTGAATAGTGCATTCCTATATTACCACCCCTGGATCCGCCACTGTCACTATCTTATTTTATATGAATACTTTATTGATGAATAAAAGAATACAAAAAAGAAAAACTATATAACCTGCATATAGCTAAAGCTAGTCTAGGCAGGTTAAATTCACAGAATATACACGTAGATTTACAAAGATGTCTTTATATGTTAATAATACTAAATAATCAGAGTACAAAGATCTGAATAGGAAATGAAAAGTAGTTCACTGAGTAGAAAATGTAAAATAGCTCATTACAGATAGACTTACTTAAAAAGTTTGAAGATCTCAGTATCATAGCGATTAATATTAAGATCGTTTAATAAAACGGTTTTGATTTCCTTTTGGAAGTTTTTTTTGGATAAA